TCAAAAGCATCTGCCAATATAAAATTCTCTAACTCTGGCAGGTAGTTTTAACTCACTCTAACAATTGGGATTGGGTTTGGCTCCATATAAAAGAAACAATGTGTCAATGTAGCTGCATTCTTAGTTTAAAAAAAAGTACCATTCTGGTGAGTGATGTTGACAATGGGGAGGGCTATTCATGTGTGGAGACAGGGGCTACATGGAGAGTCTCTGCTTCTTCCTTTCAATTTTGTTGTAAACCTAATACTGCTCTAAAAAAAAGTAAAGCCTCAAAAAATGAAAAGAAATCAAAAATAATATTCTTTAAACTAAAAGAGAAGTTTATTTTTCTTCTCATGTAAAACTAACCCAGAGGTAGAAACCCTCGATTTGGAAAGGCAGTTTCATAGTCACTGATGGCTGAGACTCGTTCTCTTATCTACTTTGCTAGCTTAGCATATGGCCTCCATCCTCAAACTTACCTCCTGGTCTAAAATAGGCTGCTAGTGTTCCCTTCATCACAACCAAATTCCAGGGAGTGGGAAGAAAGGTGATGGAAAAAAAACAAAAGTGCCCACCACCAAGTTAGGTCAACTTCTTCAAGCAGCTTTCCCAGAGGTCCCTTGTAACATTTAAACTTACCTATCCTTGGCTAAAACTTAATCGTGACTACTGAAACACATAGAAGACTGGGTGAAGGATTCTCTTCTCTGGGACACTATTGACCAGAATAAAATTGGGGTTCTATTACTAAAGGAAAGAGAAGAGATATTGAATGTCAATTCACAGTCTGTTCCATATCCATTGTATTAAATGTGTTGATTTTGTGAGAAATTTCACACAGACATTAAAAATAATGAATGAGAGCTATGCCAACTGACTTGGAGTGTGTGTGCGGAGGGAGAATTTCCACAAGGATTATTGGGTGAGAAAATCAAAATGTATAGAAGTGATAAAATATGATTCCATTTTGAATAACATAGAGTGACAAAAATCGCTACGTATACATGCAAATAAGCATATGATTATGAAAAAAGTTACTGAAGGGTACACAGTAGGTTAACATGTGTTATCTGGTCAAGGAAGAGGAGATGAATATCTTTGTGTTGTTCTATAGTTCCTCTTGTTATAATAAGTGTGTGTTATTTTTTAATTTGAATACTATAAAAATGTTCTTTAAAAATGTGGTAGCCTCTCAAACCAACCTTCCTAAGACCTTCCTCTATACATAAAAATTCACAGTAAGAAAGTCCCAGGTAGAGTTTATCCTAGGGGATCTTAGGGAAGGACTAATAGGCCCTCAATACAAACCATTTTACCTAAGTTGTTCTAAATGATTTATTTAGGGAAATTATTTATTTAAAGACTATGTTAGCTGGGTAACATTAGGAAGAATGTTGCATTCTTTTGGAGCTAATGGATGTTAACAAATGTTTATAAATATTTAAATATGAATATAAGGCAGAATAATACTACAGTAGATATCTTTGCTGAATTATTTGGTATACTACAATTTATGAAATTAAACAAGATAACCTTTATGAATTATATTTAATATTTACCTATTTACCTCCATTTAGTCATGAATCTTTCATGAAAAATCTTGTTTGGGAATTAGTCATACCTTGCAAGAATAAATCATTTTCATGTCAACTTGGCTTCATCAAAATTTCATGAAAAAAGAACTTCAAAATCATGTACAACATCATATTATAAATTATTTTTGATCCAGATGTAATAAAGAATATGAAGAGTATGAAAAAATAAAGAAAAATAAATTAATCCCCTACCTACCTCAACTGCATGTCTATTTGGCCTGGAAAACGTCCAGTGCAGTGACCTGAGAAAACAAAATAGCAGCAATGCTGAGACATTAAGGTTTCTGCACTATAAGGTCAAAAATATTTTCAATGACTATTTAAAATTTTAATAACGATATTATAATAATTTTCAAAGTAAACTTTCAGATTTGAAGTTATATCCAAATAGTTCATCCAATAATGGCAATATTTGTTTTCTGTCTTGGTTGTGGCCAAATATTGATTTTCCAATACTAGGCCATTTGGCATCAGACATAGGAGTATTCAGTGGCCCAATTAGTGAAAAACATCCCATTGGGTAAACAGTGATGCTTTACTGCAAACAGTCCCTTAGGAACACTAATATGCATAATAAGTAGCTTGGGGAGATTGTAATAAATGTCACTTCCTCTCTGAATAGTGTCCCTCTCCTTCAATAATTGTTTTCAGTCAGAAATGGGCATAATAAACAAGTTACTAAGAGCTTTTCTACATGCCCTAGGATCATGTTTTGAGGAATAGTGCTGTCTTAGAAAATTCTGTTTTAAATTTGATAATCACCGTCATAGACCTTCTTTTTGTTTGTGAAATTAGAGTCAGTTGTGCAAACAACACTGTCATAGTCAAAGAGCTTGGGAAAAAATGCTATAGTTTAATAAATTTTTAAAAAAGAAAAAAAAAACTAGAGCATGATTTAAATCCCTAGTTAGTCCTGCACCACATTTTTCTTAGTGAAACATGGCCAATGGGATGGAGCTGGGAGATAAATCTGTGAGTCTATTTTTAAAATTGTTTTAAGTGTTTTGCAAGGCTGGGAGTGTATATTTTCTCTGTCTGTGGTGGGAGTATAGTCAGAGTAGGGTGTTGGCACACAGGGATAAAGAGAGTATTCAGATTGGAAGTAGTGAGTGATTATACTCAAGAACCATGAATCCAGTCCTACAATAACTCTACATGGCTTCCAATTTCTAAATTTATTTTCAGTTAAATGAAAGCAGCCATCTAAGTGATGTTGTGCCATGAATCAAGACAGGGTTAACATTATAAAATATCTTAGTTCCAGTTTCATAAACCTGTATCTTCAAATAAAACTCCAAACGCAAACAATACATCTCAATCACTTTGTAAGTTACTTTTCTGAGTTGATTTCTTTCCCTCAATCTTTCACCAAAACTAGATCTGCGACAGATTCCAGGCCAGACCGAAAATGCAAAATTCCATACTCCCCATTCTTTGATTATTTTGCCTTGAATTGAAGTGGATACATGGCAATTAGCTACTAGGGAACTCAAAATCTTCTGATTCATTCTCTTGATCAATCAAGTTGACCAAGTAATTTCTGAACTTTCAGTCAGCTTTGTACGTTCCTGTTACTAGCCCAGTATGCAGTCTTCCTACCTCAGAGACTATAGGCATAAAAAGGGTTCTTAGAAGTAATCTAGTCCTGCCAACCTATTTGACACTAGGAAGTTGAACCCAGCTTTCTTGGAGAGTTGCTCAAGGTTAAATGGCTTGGGTTAGGGGAAGAATTAGGACCCTAGTTTAGGGATTCTGACTCTGAGAAGATGAAGCTTTTGAGAAGCCCTTCTGAAACATTCCTTTTGAGTGATTGACAATGGTCTTAAGAATAAGAAATGCAGAACAGTGGGACTTTTTGCCCTGACTTTGATCTCTTTACTGATGGTAGTCCTATAAGGGGTGGCAGGAACATCTGAACTCAAGGCAGAGTTCCAGCGATAGTTCTGACGCTAAAGAACCAGGGGCCCTTACTAAATGTGCCTAACTTCCTTGTAACAAGGCAACCAGCACAAACCCGCCCATTGTCGTCCAATATACTTTGGCCCTTTCCTTCCCTCACTTGAGAATTATTAACATTAAGGCAAAAATATAGGGTAAATTACTTAGAACTGTGTCTAGAAAATATTAACTCTCAATAATACCACTGATTACCATCATAACGCCGATTATTGAGAGGCTGCCTGCCAGGTAACGCTTTAGACGCAGCGTGCAGAATCTTTCAATCCGGCCCATGACTGCGCATGTACGCTCCCGTGCGAAATCGCTACTCGCTTTCCCGCTTGGGCGCAAGCTCCGCCCCCGAGGGCGTGCGCCTTAAAGCGCGGGCACCGCGGTGAAGCGCGCGCTCGTCGGGGCGTGACCAAAACCAGGTCCGGCACGTGGGGGTGTTTGCTTCCGGGGCCAAGGGCTCTTCATTTCCGGGGGAAGCCGGCATTGCCGTTCGCGGGACTTGTGGGAGGCGTTGGCTGCTCCTTCGTGGTTCCGTGTCCTCGGTCCGGGAAAGCCAGGAATGAAGATCACGAGGCAGAAACACGCCAAGAAGCATCTTGGCTTCTTCCGCAACAATTTCGGGGTCCGCGAGCCCTACCAGATACTGCTGGACGGCACCTTCTGTCAGGCGGCGCTGCGGGGCCGCATCCAGCTGCGGGAGCAGCTGCCCCGCTACCTCATGGGGGAAACTCAGCTGTGCACCACCAGGTGGGCCTGGCCGGTCCGGGCGGGGGCGCGGGCGGTCCCATGGTTGCGGTAGACGCAGGGCCCTGCTCACAGACCTCCGCTGCGAGCTCTCGAGGGGCAAAGCGCCCCGCCCACGAAGAGTTAACAGCTCCGCGGGGCCCGTAGAAGGGCGGGCGAGTAGCTACTTTGTGGGGCAGAAAGTACGATGCCCAGCGGATATTCAACCGGGCTTATTAAAATGCTAATATTTGACTCATCCACAGGAGCTTCCTATTTAGGGATGAGAAAGCATTTAGAAACTGTTATTCTGACGTGTGTAGTATATAGAAGACACTTCGAAAAACATTGCTTTGTATTAATATGAAAATGCAAAATGAAAGAAAGGTGTGATTATTTTGAAACAAGCTGATGACTTGAGAATGTTTACTCTTATGAACTGAAAATATTTTGAAGGTATAACCGATTTGTACTTGAAGTCGAAGAGTGTAGCACTGTAGTGGCAAGGATCTACTGTCACATTATTTAGATTCACATTTCAGCTCTACCACCTCTTAGTTTGAATTTGGGATTGTTACTTGAGATCTCTCAGAATGAGGTGTTGTAAAGCAAGGATAATTTTAAAGTAAGATGCCCAACTTTGTAGGACTGTTTTGAGATTAAACGAGAATTTATGTGCAGAGCAGTTAGCATTCAGCCTGGCGCATCGTAAGTGCTCGATACATTTAAACTGTTACTCTGTTCTTTCTACTTAATGTATGTATTTTCTAGGTCTTTTAAGAGTAAAGTGATTCTTGTATGATTTGTGGCTACATATGACAAATTCAGATTGTAATGGTACAGTTTGAGTGTTGTTTTTTATACTTTATGTGAAAAACCGTTGTACGTCTATTACAATTGTGAGTTGCTAATAATATTTCTTTTTTCAGGTGTGTGTTAAAAGAGTTAGAAACGTTGGGAAAGGACTTATATGGGGCAAAGCTGATTGCACAAAAATGCCAGGTTCGAAATTGTCCCCATTTCAAGAGTGCAGTGAGTGGATCAGAATGTCTGCTTTCCATGGTTGAAGAGGGAAATCCTCATCATTATTTTGTGGCAACACAGGTGATACAACTTTTAAAACCGGAGTCAATTTTAACCATTTCTATTTATACTTCATATGGAGCTATTTATCATTAGAAAAAAATTAAGTGGAAGTGGTTTTAAGTGTTTCAACTTTTTTAAATGCAGGCTTTCAAGTTAATTTGTAGTCAGTAAAAGCAATTGTCATTTGAGAATTTGAGATGAGACCCCTAAGCATATTGATTTTCTTCTTAATTACTGAAGTTTCCTTTTTTAAATAAAAAATTATTGATATAGAGATGTGATATGTTTTAGGGTTCTAGAAGGGAAGTAAGTAGAGCAAAGATTTTATGTTTATACATGTTTTTTCATGTTTCTGTATTTCATACTATTTCTCAGAAAGTCATATTTTATATTATTTGAGAACATACTATCAATATGGAACTGTTTTAGGCTTTTAAAGATTGGGAAGCATGGAAAGAGAGATTCTCAGGGTTGATAATAATGAAGTTTGTGTATTTAGATTTGCTTAATACGGTTTTGGAATTATAAAATTACACAGAAGCAGAGCTGAATCTAGAATGAGTCAGCTGATTCCTACTTTGTTTCTACTCCTTCGATCTCTTTGAGCATTCTTGACCCTTTCTGAACCTGTCTAAGAGGAGGAATAAGGAATATCACCTAACATATTTACCTTTGCATTAGTTTGTAATTCGTGGTCCTAGAAAGTCTGTGGTCTTAGAATACTGATCAACATAGAACATTGATAAATCCAGTTCACACTGTCACCAGTTCTTATGTTCCTCTTCCTTTCTTTATCATAAATATACTCCTGTTATTGACACACTGATTAGCAGAATAAAACCTCTGGTCTCTTTTATTTTCAATATAGCCCTCTTTAAGTTCTTAGACATCTACTTAAGGCATCTGATTTAATTGACATATCTGAACTAAACAATTCTGTTTTTCTTTTTAATAGGATCAGAATTTGTCTATGAAAGTAAAGAAAAAGCCTGGAATTCCTCTCATGTTTATTATTCAGAATACTATAGTTTTGGACAAACCTTCTCCAAAAACAATTGCGTTTGTTAAATCAGTAGAGTCAGGTCAGCTTGTCTCAGTGCATGAGAAACAAAGCATCAAGCACCTCAAGGAGGAACAGGGTTTAGTAAAAGACCCTGAACAGAGAAGAAGAAAAAAGCGCAAGAAAATAAAAGGCCCCAATCCTCTTAGCTGTTTGAAGAAAAAGAAAAAAGCAACGGATACAAACTCATCTGCCTCTGAGAAGAAAAGAAAAAGAAAAAGAATCCGGAACAGATCTACTTCAAAAGTACTTTCTGAAAAGCAGAATGCAGAAGGATAATGAATCCTTTGGATACTTTTAAACACATTCAAATATGAAAAATAAGTTTCTTTTTGAAGCTGTGGAAATATTTATGGTAAAAGAGTAAACTTATTTTTGTAATTGTAAATATTGACCCACAAGCCTTTGTATAAAATTATTTGTTTAAAGAAAGAGTGGATAAGAGGGAGGGTATAGCTCAGCAGTAGAGTGCATGCTTAGCATGCACAGGTCCTGGGTTCAATCCCCAGTACCTCCACTAAAAACGAAAATAAAAATTAAAGAATAATTTAAAAATACGTAAAGAAACCTAATTACCTCCTCCCCCCACAAAAAATTAAAACTAAACAAGAGTGAATGAATTTTGATGATCATGTTCACTTTTCTTAGTGAATTTCAGGGTGGGCTTTTTAATGTAAAACCATTGTCTCTTTCTGTCTTACTGCTGCGTCTCTCCTTCCAACCTTATATGCAAATAGTTTAAAGAGTCAAATAGTACCAAAACACTCGTGACAAAAAGCAGATAGTCCTTTTATATTCGCAGAGGAAACTTCCTCTTACAACTCAAGTAGTTGTTACAGAATTTACGTTTGTATTTCCTGATAATATGAATATGCTGCTACCTATGATCTACCCATTATTTATTAACTTCCTACTAGAAATAATAGAGATTTGCTTGCTTATTTTATTCCACCATTTTTCCAATATATTAATATTTTAATCTTTATACATCCCAAATTCAGTATTTTCACTATGATGACTGTAAACTTTATTCAGTACTCAACAAAGTAGCATGCTATGATTGAATTTATTTCTTATATTTTTCTGTTATTTCGGAAGTTAATGGCCTCATTTTCTTATAGCATCTGGCTTGATCTTGATACATTCTTCAGTAACTCTGGAAAGGATCTCATAATTTTTCATATGATAATATCAGGTAATTTCTTATCCCTGGAGATAATTCTAGAGCCATCCCTCTGTCTGCCAATGTGGAAAGTTTTCCACCAAGCATGTTGCTCAGCTCTCACCCAGGCACATCCTGCCCTTATACAGAGAATCTACTCTGTCACTTTTGTAGCCTAGATTCTTCATTTTACTCTTTCCTGGTTTCCTCTTTTGCTGTGGTGGAGCATAGAGTGTATAGGAAGTACATTTTTTGAGGCTCAGCCAATGTGTTTAACCTCATATTTGTTGCACTGATAATCTAGCAAGATAAAGAATACTTGGTTACAAATCATTTCACTCAGTTTCTCTTGAGAACTTCTTAATTGTTTATAAGGCCCTAGGGGAAAGAAATCCCTTTACTTTTTTTGAGTTCCATTTATCCAATACAGAAGAGGATTTTTTTAGATGTAAATGTTAACTTCAGTAGCAAAAATTCCAAAATAATTCTCTTTCAGTTTGGCTATATATGTTATTTTTAAAATGTCAAAAGGGTCAGTTCAATTAGGAATCAAATAATCAAACTTGACTTTTTCAGCTCCCTCCCCAATTATTTTAATTATTCATCAGGCCAAAGTTGAAATGTTTTTTCAGTGTAAGACTGAAGTATAAAGTTGTCAGAGAAGTGCAATCAGTGGCTTCTGACTTTGAGCTGGCAGTGATACTTTCAAAGTGGTTCTTAATTTGTATCCTTAGAATATTGCCATGTATGAAGTACTTCATGAATAAGTTCTTACTTATGCCTAAAATAAGTGATTTTTCTTAAAAATGAGACAATTCAAATTTATTCCTATGGAAATGTCATTCTCAGTTGAATTCATAGTCGCTTTTTTTTGATGGAAAGTGGAACGTTAGCTCTAACTACACTGGGAAGAGCAGACAGGCTGTATTTGGCAAGCCAGATGATTGTTCCTACTGTCATTTCATGATTCTGGTTTAAATTTATGATAGGAATATTTTTTAAAAGAAAAGCAAAGGTACTGGGAAAAAGTGAGTATAGTTCTATAGTTCCTGTGAAGAGAAATAACATTTGTCAGTAATGACAAGAGTTAAGATTAACAGATCAGATGTAGACAAAGTGATAAATCAAGTGCATTGTACCCTGATGACCTTCATTTCAGTATGCTGAAATGCATAAATTTCAGGTGTTTTTAACAAGGCTTATGTTTACTCAGTGCTGTCTGATTGCCTGTATTTAACAGCCTACACTGGAGAGCTGGAGAAGTCATCTCATTTTTATGAAGTAATTTTTAAATTAAAATACAAAAATACAAATGCATTGTAAAACATTTAATAGCTTACAACTTGGAATAGTCATTTATATATTTTCTCAGTAAAAATTACTTTAAGTTTAACAGAAGGATCTCATATCTTTGTACTTCAGTTCTTTAAAGAATACTACCCTTTGCCACCACCCTGAAAATCGCTAGCACTACTTGCTCTGTTTTCTCCATACAAATTAGGGAAGACGGGGGCCCTGGGAGTATGCACAGGCGATCACAATCCATTTTGTGGTTTGGAAAAAAATGTTCAGAACCTCTGCTTTAAATGGTAGCTTCTTGCTTTGTTGGGGATAAAAGTGGAACACGTGCTTTTCAACTCTGAAGTTTGCTAGACTAAAAAGAATAGTATTTCTGAAAACTGCTATCCTTTTTGAACGCTTCAAAATAAAATGTTTGCAGTTGTGTTTGGGCAGGATTCTGTATTCCCTGCATTTTCAAAGCTCTACAGCCATTTTTTATTCCCACAAGTATGTAAAGTAAAACTAGAAGTCATTTCAGAACAACTGAATTTCAAAAGCAAAAAGATTTCCTGTCTTTTATGCATAAAGTTAAGAGTTAAGAGACTGTTTTATGACTGCATCTAGGTGAGGCAGAATGGCTGTGACTTGACCGGTTTAATTAATAGGTTTTCATGGATGGGTAGAGTGAATATTTTAAAATATTTAAAAAATATGTCTTGAACTATAGCTTAAGAATTCTTAGCTGTAAATGAAAATGTATATAAATGAAAAAATGCGAGAACTTGGTATAGCTCTACCTATATTGAAATCCAAAACTATTTGGGGATAAAGACAAAAGATTAGGTGTCTGGACTGAATTTAGGAACTGATTTCTCATATGATCTTAGATTAGTGACCTCCAAATATTTAACCATGCATCCTTGCCTGTAAAAAGCTTTTGTGTACACCTATAACGTATATATTTATCAACTCTATAAATTTACTACTGTACATTCTAAGATACACACAAAAATGTAAAGGATAAAGATAAGTTATTTAAAAATCTTTGCCATTAGATAACTTCATTAGCTAATATTTCAAAATACAAGGCTTACCAATGATACTTGGTATGAATCTACTTCAGGTAGTCTTTTAATTACCTTATTTGTCAGATCTGTCTAGGTCATTGGTTTTCCTTTATATTAATGATAAAGTGTACTAGGAGTAGGTGTCAATACGTATTTGTTGAGTAAGTGAAAATACAATCGGGTCTACCACAAAAAGTCATAGCTTCTCAACCAGTTTTCAGACCTAAACCTGCTCACGGGCCCAGAGCCCCTTAATTTAAGGGGAGGCTGGGTTCCCTTGAGAAAGGACCCTGGAAGCACTGCTACAAGTTTTCCTCTAAGCCTTCCCCAAAGGGACCTGTGGCCATTTTCTAGAGTGAATGTGCTTTGGGAAATAGAAATACCCAGGCTTTTGGGGATTACTAGACCCTAGCTCTGAATTGATGCTAATTGCTGGTGACTCAAAATGCATCTGGTCCAACATTCAAAGTGGAAGTTTATGGTGGTCAGGTGATAAGTTGTGTTGTATGTGAAGTCTGAGTCACAGGGCCATGAGCCCAACCTGTGTTTTTTCTCCAATTCCAGAATGTGTAATTGCTAAAGACATACTAGGCATCTGGTTGTGTCTCCATATTAGCTCTCATTTATGGACTAAGGGTCATTAGGGTATGAAGAGCCAAAGGGCAGCTATTGGAATTTCTCCATGCCAGAGTAGAAAACTAAAAGAATAGGATCTCTTTGGAGGAAATGCAGAGATTACTACCATCGTTAAATACTTGAATGATGCAGAAATGTTAATTCTTTTTTCATCTCCGTTTGACACATCTCATCTGTTTAGTCTGTATAGAAGGCAGATGGTTCTTAAAGCATGACTAGATTATTTTAATGTTAATCCAAGGGTGACTAATTGGCAGACCCTCTTCCAGAGATAATATCTTTGCTGGAACAAATCAACACAGCTCCTGGCACCTTGTATGGAAAATGCTTTTTTTTTCCTCTAATTTTTAACAATTTGCTATGACCACCAAAATCAGTTTGCTTTTCTTTGACAAGGTCAATAGTACACCATTACAGTCTGGCTTATGCTAATTTAGCACACCTGCCTTCAGCCATAATGAAGTCTGCAGAGATCATGATCATCTTAACATTCCACACGTCACACTGACCCCC